ACTATATTAAATGTTATTGTCGTATGTGGAGGATGGGGAGTCTGCTTTACTGTGGTCCATGATGTTGCAAAGACATGACGATTGAACAAAATTATAGTATAGTATTATAGTATTACTAGTAGTAGTAGTAATACTATAATACTATACTACTACTACTACTACTACTATCACCACTACTAATCTTATTATAGTATTTGCTATTAAAATTATTAGCCACTTCATTCTAAAAGATTTTGGGCAACTTACAAATTCTAATACACAATTAAAACATCAAAATGAGGAACAGCTGGACAAAATCAGTCAAAATAACAATTACAAGGATTCCATTCACCTTCAATATTGCTCTTCAAATCTGAATCTTGGCACGGCTCTAATAATTAGCTGCATAATTTCCTTTTAGTACACCTGTAACTAACTGGAAGGGGCACGTGAAACTTGCAAATATGCTGGTTTTAGACAGAGGCGAATTCCTGCTGCAGCTCCAAATATTTTCTCAGGTGATCCTGAGCTGGAAATGGATCTACTCCAGGTCAGTTGAAGAAAATATCCAAAGCATGACCAATAAATAATAGACATTATTCTTTTGGATGGCACATTGGCTGTTTTTAAGTCAAACAAAAAGCAAATTGTCAGACTTGGGGAGAATAAAGAACTGTAATTTGCTTGCGAGAGGTAAATCTTGCAAAGTACAGGGGAAACGGGACTCCTGTTCTACAGCATAAAGACCCTTTTACTCACATTCAGGGAAGGGATTCAAAATTTTTAGCAAGGGGTTCTCTGCCTGGTTGCTGGCTGGATGTGGCCAGGGTGGGCATTGCCTACTCAGCCTCCTGCACTATGGGGGGGGGCATCTTCGCCCTCTCGGGGCTCCGGAGGCTTTCCTCGAGCATCTGGGAGGGTAAAAACGGCCTCCCCAGGCTCCAGAAGCTCTCTGGAGGCCAGAAACGGGCCCATTTCTGGCCTTCCAGAACTTCTGGTAGGCCGTTTTCTGCCCTCCCCGAGGCTCTGCACGTGCCCAGGTCACGTGGCGACTCCTGGGAGGGACAGGGCAGGGTGGACGGGGCCAGACAGAGTGGGGTTTGGGGGTTCTCCGAACTGCACAGAATCTTAGCTAGAGGTTCTCCCCGAACCCCCGCGAACCCCCAGCAGCCCAGTCTTGCTCACATTGTAATTTAAAATATAGCTGTGAAAGATGTTTAATCCAGGATCTACAACTGAACAAATAATTCCAGAGGCTCAGAAAGGATTTTGTTGGGGTTTCTTTTTTTATATTGCCTCTCCACCCTCGTCAAAAGACCTTTGACTAAAGAGCAAATACAATAAAGGAATTTGCTTTAAAAAAAAAAAAAACCTCAGTGAGAATTTCGGAGTTTCTGAAGTTATGTTTGAATTCTTTGTTTGATTCGGAAGACAGAAGCCATTGAAAAGACAGGAAGCGGTTGGCAATTCTATTGCCTTCAGTCTGGATGGGCTAACATTTATGCCTGCATTTTCACAATAAAAGGCACAATTCGTGGAAACAGAAGTTTTCACTGGTTTCAACCAGCTCTAAACACCACTGGTACCCAGAACATCAAAGCCCAAGCAAAGCATTCCTGTTGACAATGGGAAGTACACAGAGGACAAAAAGCTTTATTTATGAAGGGAAGGACAAAGGGAAGAATATTTTCCTCTTCTCTTCTTCCTGGACCCTTGAAAAAATATTTTCACAAGTGCTGTGGGAGGTAAATTACATATAATATTTCAAGCATACTATCCTTTTTCAAAACCCCGGTTCTGGGCCAATAGCATAGCATGGCATGGCATGGCATGGCATGGCATGGCATGGCATGGCAAGGCATAGCATAGCAAGGCATAGCATAGCATAGCATAGCATA